ATCTTGCTATTAAATGCTCTTTGAACCAACCCTGTATATTAATTAACTAGTATTGATGGCCGAAAAACATGTGTTTTGGGATAAACAATTAGAAATTCTTAAACTTGACCAATATAATCCAGTTTTGTTGTTGTTATTTAGAAGTATGAATCCTACGGATTTGAAGAATTTCAAGTAGTTGCGTAAAATTATCGTCGCATTACCAACAAATGCCAAAACCTGCATTTTGCCTCGTTTTTCGGCCATAACATTTTTGCTATTAGTCGGATACGTGTGGTCTCATTTTATAGGTCTCATAAATACTTAAATATCTTATATGAAAAGTTTGTTCGTTCCTGTCAACACTTTCGATTGAATTCCAAAAAACACGTTTTCTCATTCTTTGTTGTCAAATAAAAAGTTTTCCCATAAAAATTGGTGTACCCATTTTATGCGTCAATGTGCTAAATACCCCCTTGAACAACTTGCACCAATAAAACCAGACTTTACAATTAATTCGGAGAAATTTGCTAATATGATTATACTAAAAGGAACTAATACAATCCTGATTGGCTAGATGGTTGTGAAGATGGAAATTGTATGCGAGCGTCTAAATATAGCATAGGGCTAGGCAACTTGGAGGAGTAGACTAGGAAAAAATAAGCGCTATAGACACCTGGCTAGAAAAGATTACAAATGAGAAAAAATGGTGTCAAGTAAGTTGACTCTATACTTCGTACGCCTTCATTGGAGGTTTCAAAGAAAAAGGATGAGTCAAATCATTTCAAAAGGCGAAATCGAATCGTAATTAGGTAGATTCACTTAGGTTCAATGAATCTTCCTCCTCTGCATAACAAACTATATAAAGCAAATCTATCATATTTTTGTTTTCATGGCAGATGTAAGGAAAATATGTGTGACAATATGTCTAATAGGTGCATAGTACCACTGAGATCAGCAGCTCCTTCGTGATACAGGATGACACCAAATATGCAACAGTTTACCACCGTTTACCGCATACAGCTTCCAACCTTTAATTTTCTTCCCCTCCAAACAATGTCTGAAAATGCGAGGAATCTCTGAATCGTTGTAACACTATGTTCCAGCGATTTTATTTCCGCCGTCTCTGAATCAATTTTCAAAATCTATGACTACCTAAACGATGGAGGTATTAAACAGACGCCAGTGGCATCCACGACGATGCAGCGTCGCAGCCTCGCGCCTCGCACGCGATGCCAATGATGGCAAGCTATTTCGAATTATGAGCTCATTACACATAGGACTTCTGTCATTCAATTTTCCCATTTTTACCTGGATCAGAAGCTTCTCAATAATAGATCGTCTTTGAATGATAATAAAGGCATAACATTTTCAATTCTCAACCAGTACAAACATTTTTTTGAAAATGATCAGGAGCCTCTGAAACGTCAAAAAAACGAAGTTTGGGTGATATTTCTATTTTATTTTTTCGCTCCCCGCTCTGCCGCCACTGGACCGATTTCAAGGTTTTCTCGTCCTGGGTGTTAAAATTTCACCAAAATCCGAGCGGAACCTACCAAATTATAGAGGGGTCAAGGACTGGCGGACATACAGGCCTGCAGACAAACAAACCGACGAAAATGAGTAACATGGGTTTTCCTGATGTACATGTCATATAACATCAAAAAAATATAATATCTCAATTTAAAAATTATTCGCGATTACAATACTTCCTCGATCACTGGCGTAAGAAGTAAAACCTTGCGTGAGTACATTACACTGATAAACACAGGATTTGTGACATGAAAATTTTTGGGTGTATCTTATGTATGAGACCCTTAAATCAAATCTAAAAGATACAGATATTCGGTAACATCTACTTTTTTGAATTACAATACGTAACATCTCATATTGCTTGTTTATTGTATGCGAGCTCCATGTTTAGGGAGCATATTGCGTTTATTAGTAGACTAATAGCAGCCGAGTCAGTTACGTTTTCTGTGTTAAAGAGTACTGAGATGTTCTGAGTACTGTTAATTTTTGTTAAAACGTTGTGTTGTTCTTAGTTTATTGTGATCGAGACTAGCTTTATGGACAATGCCTAGAAATTTTGTAAATAGTGCGAACAGTTTTTGTTATGTGTGAGGAGAGCTAACTTTTAAATCCCAAAAACGTAGTTTTACTCCCCTTGTGTTGAAAACATATGAACTTTATTTTGGAATTAAAGTTGGCGACCAAGATAAACTATGGGACCCTCATATATGTTGTAAGACTTGTGTAACATTGTTAACAGGTTAGTTAAGAGGCGACAATCGTAAAATGCCCTTTGCGGTACCAATGTGCCACGCCTTTTATTTTGGTTAATTAATAAAACACAATGATAAATGCTATCTAACGGTTGGTCCAAGCAAAACAGTTGTCTAGTGGCGTGCAAATTTACGCCCTAGCTCAATAAAGCGGAGAGTAGGGGCGGGTTAAGAGCGCCAGTGACTTAGGACGGATTAAGCCACAACTCCCCGAGATGTTAGTCGGAACTTGTTTTGCTTGACCACCACACAAAAGGAGAATCTAACAGAGATGACAAAATTTAAGTAACAGTAGACACAGAAAGTTCAAATAAACAAGATGTCAAATGGATCACAATATATTGATTAAAAAGAACAAAACGCACATATGCTCCACCACTGGAGTGCGAGAAAGGATTTTAAAAAAAAAACTGACACAAAATAAAATTAATTGGCGTTTACCATGGTATACGCTTTACGTATATGTTTTACGCCTAAACTACACTTATCTGGGCGGAGGTCTTCTCTCAGTTATGGCTAGGCGCAGCCGAGATGTATCCCAGGTCAAAAAGAACAAAAAAAAGGAAGCCAGTAGTGGGCACGTCACTGGGCAGGGGCTGCTTGCCTCGGTCCCAAAAGTATGATGGTAACAGGAAAAAAAACCTGTTCACATCAGGGTTTTTTCAAGCAGATGGCTTCCAATTTGCAAAACTGCAACGATGCAACTGACTGGGGGAGAAAAGACGAGGATTTTCTTGTTTCGCTGAGGGTTAAAATCCCATAAAAAAAATAACTAAACTCAAGTCACACAAAAAAAGAAAAGGATGCCAGTCTATGAATGGGTGCTTGGGGCCTAATATCCCAGAGTCTGGAAAACGACAAAAAGACCCCTGCACCGTGACCTCAACGGAAGCTGAAAAGCGAATCACGCAAAATACGTAACGTTCTAGAAGAAGAAATCTTGAGCGGCCTTGAAGAAGATATGTTTTATAGGAAGCCAACTAACGGAGAAAAACTGCAGAGTTTTTGGCTGAGAAAGAAAGATATAGATATAATACGAGTGAAATTACACAATCAATAAACTATTAAATTTGCAAAAAGAGGCCTAGGAATGAGCACTTTATTATCAATGAAGAGAAATTCAAATTACTGATAAGTGATAAATAGAAAAAAAAAGGTTACGTGATTTTGGCACGTGACAAATGGTTTGGAGAGAACTGAGAGCCCATACTACTGTGCTGTTTTTGACTCACAAATATTAAAGGTATTGGACCAATATCGACACATACTGTTAAGGATTTTAATTTACCATCAGCTTTGCGGCCCGTTAAGCATAGTGATAAACTTTCTGTCCCAGTTCCACCAGAATCTTGGCCTTTGGATAAAAATGTCGAATCCACCGATTTTGAAAGTGATGGTACAGAAAGCGTAAAAATTTCCGATCCTTCGTTTGACCTGCCAAGATGTTCAGCAGCACCACATTTGCTCACACGGGACGAACTTAATGACTTAGTTCGAGAATTACATCTGTCAAAATCCCAGTCAGAACTTTTAGCGTCAAAATTAAAAAAATGGAATCTTCTCCACGGTGGTGTTAACATTACTTTGTACCGAAAACGGCAACAAGACCTCACACACTGTTTTCGTCAAGAAAGGGAGTTGATATATTGCTCCGATGTCAGCAATTTGTTTGATGCGTTAGGACAGAAACATGATCCAAATGATTGGCGCCTGTTCATTGATTCCTCTAAGCTTAGTTTAAAAGTGGTATTGGTACACAACGGTAATAAATATCCATCTGTACCTATAGCGCACGCAGCTCATATGAAGGAATCATATGAAAATATGCGAGTTCTGTTAGAGCATATCCGTTATAATGAATATGGATGGGCTATATGTGCAGATTTAAAGGTAATAGCCCGTCTTCTTGGAATGCATCTGGGATATACCAAATATTGTTTTCTTTGTGAATGGGACAGTTGTGCGCGAGATCGTCATTATGAACAGAACGAGTGGCCACTACGTCAGGTATTAACTCCGGGCCTCAAAAACATTGCTCATGAACCACTAGTTGATCCCAAAAACGTGTTGCTTCCACCTTTGCATATTAAGTTGGGACTGATGATAAATTTAGTGAAAGCTATGGATCGAAATGGAAGAGGCAAAAATTAAAGAGGGCATATTTGTGGGTCCACAAATACGGAAAATCAAGAAGGATGATGTATTTGACAGTGCTCGAAATGAAACAGTTACTGCAAATTGTTCAGTCAATGTTAAGGCGGACAATTATAAAGATATTGTGAGTGAACTAATTAATGCTTATAAAGGAATGAGATGTAACATGTCTCTAAAAATTCACTTTTTGGATTCTCAAATCAATTTTTTTCCGGAAAATTTAGGTGCGGTAAGTGATGAACATGTTGAACGGTTTCACTAAGACATTTCTGCTATGGAAAAACGGTATCAAGGCAAAGTGTCAATTTGCTTGCTGATTATTGCTGGACATTGTTAAGAGGTACTTCAGGAGCAACATATCACCGTAAAACATCGACAACAACATTCCGAGATTAATGTTTATTCGAGTGTTTATTAGTACTCTTACACACATATCCTTATATTTACGAGTATAAGCAAATAAAATGCCTTATTGCTAGAAAACCGTGGGTGATAGAAGAAATCAAATGCTATTTCCGGCTTTTTGGGTACGTTTTACATAGTAACCACCTTGTTTTGTCCATGTCACAAAAAATTATTTTAATTTTGTTCACCAGTGTAAGTAACACAAATGTATTTTTTTCAGATACTTCATAAAATCGACGATGTCCTGGTACCAACTAGAGCCGGTACCCGCGTATTCAACCCAAACGCGTGGGAGTTCCTTGAAAACTACGAGAAACTCCTACAAAACCACGTGCCCGGTCAGAATCCTTACAGAGTCAGGTAAACTCTTTACAACACATACAATACAAAAACGTTCAGTATTCAGAATTTAGGGCAAGGTCGCCATAATATTGATTTAACGACAAAAGGTTAAATGAAACAATTTCAAGTTATTTTTATATCTATTGATTGTTTTCCTGTGAGTTATAATAGAACCGAAAAGAATAAGTTCTTTTGATACATTTTACTTTACTGCATAAAGGAAAATAACTTGATCGTCAATTTGGTGGCATCTATGAAATTTTTGCGTTTAAATCTTTCAGAACATATATATTTTAAACGTTCCCTACGATTTCCAAAATTCATCATTTTTCTAATACTTAACTCACTATTCTGTGTTTATTGTTAGCACCACTTTCATTTTGATATACAGAGAAATTCGTATATACTGATGTCGTAATGTGTACCAGAGAGAAGCGCACGAAGCGTGCAATACGTTTGTTAGAAAGAGATAGAAGCATCACGTTTCCTAGAAACCCGACTGACGAGGCCACGTCGGCAGCTACGGCTAGCCGCGTTGCCATCGGCGCACCCTATCTAACATGCGTATGCACGCTTCTCTCTCTTACACATTACTTCGTCAGTGATATTTGGATTTCTCTATATGTTTTGTATCTCCGTGTGCTTGTTAAAGCTGAAGTAGGAAGAGTTGCAATCATGAGCCCATATATACAAATAGTGAGTTAAATATTCGAAAATGGGCGTATTTTTGATACAAATGACAAAAAACAAATAAGTAGTAAAATGCTTGTTTTATCGGAAACGCGTCATTAAAGTTATGTGCGTATTCTGGGTATACACCTCTCAAGTCACTACATTCCTTCCTCTTCAAATATCACTACGTAATAAACGTTCAGTGTAAAAACATGCACGCACTACTCCGCGGCGGGTACTTCGATGGGTCATTTCAAGAACAGGTCTTGTATTCCAATATGGTATTATTTTCATATTTATGTGCTATATGCACCAAAATATCAATTTTAAATTCACTAACAACAAAAATAAGATTACGGATCTTATCCGCTTTCACCAAAATTACTTGTTTAAGAGTTTTATTGTTTCCTGCCTCAGCCAGTGATTCAATTATCCGCATTTGTATGACTGACAAGGTTCTTTGAATATACACTTAATATTTTAAATAGCTGTAGAGATAGATAGTATAAAGATAGAATTACACTCACAGCACCTATCTTGCAATTTTTTTATCTTTGACAAAATACATTTTAATGTCGGGAAGATACAACATAAGCAAAAGTATTCTTTCACAACTGATCGCCGATTATTGAAAAAAGTTGAACGAATAAGTTTATGTATTTTTTCACGATGACCGATTTATGCTTTGGCTGTAAAACGGGAAACTCCCAGGTGTTCGCTTTGTCCGGGTTTCCATATTCACATTAAAAATATAGAAACATCCAAAATTAAACCATGTGGCATGTTAATAAGTCAATATTCAAGTGTAATGTTCAATAATAAGCAATTAAAAATAAGATGAATATGATTCTTTTGCTCAAGCTATATACCACTAACCCTATTTCCTGCTAAAACAACGTAAGTCCATAACAGTTTTTCATGTTTTTACCATTATTATTAATAATAAACTGTGAAAGTTATGCGAAATTTCAATCTTATAGAACTCAAATATTCCGTTAAGCTCAAAAATATACCTTAAAACTGGTTTATTTGACTGTGATATAGTTTTTCTTGTCTCCTGAGAAATTGTCGGACTTACGAGGTTTTTGCACTGATCGGTTATTTAAATGAAAAAATTTCATAAATGCGATCAACTCAAAATTTGAGCTAATTCAAGAACCAAAAAGCCCCTTATATGTGTATACCCTGATCTGTTTTACAACGTTTTCCCATACCGAACCACAATAAAAATAATTACTGCATTGTTATGTATTCTAATAAAGCTTTCTAATTATGAATATAAAGGCTCACAGGGACTTCGTAATAAACAGTTATTTTCAACTTTCGCTCACATTCCACGTTTTATGTAAGTTTGCCCACCTGAAACGCTAGGCTAGCCGGGAGAGTCGTGAAAACTTTTTCAACCATACACGCTGCTAATTATCTTGTTCTATCTTGTCTCTCTTTCGCCCACACATACAGGAACTTCAGGCAGCGCGTAGAGTTGAACAAAAAACAGGACAACTTCAACGCAGAGGGAGGACAGACCTTTTTTATACCAGTGGATGAGGGATTCGGGGTGAGTGAACTAACTGTGGACGATGAACTTTTTCTTTTACTAATAGTTGCCGGCATGTTTAGTCGTTATGTTTCTAAAAATTTGCATCAAGTAAATTGACCTTACACTTCCTACGCCTTCATTAAAGGTTCCAAAGAAAAGGAAGTCGAGTCGTTTCAAAAGGCAAAATCGAATCGTGATTAGGTAGGCTCACTTAGGTACGATGAATCTTCGAACTGCATATTAAACTATATAAAGCAAATCTATGGTATTTCTGTTTCCGTTGCAGATGTAGGGAAAATATGTCTGACTTATTATGTCTAACAGGTGCATAGTTTCACTGAGATCAGCAGCTGCTTAATAATGAAAGGTATTCCGCTGACACCAAATTTGATGCACTCCAATGTCTGAACACAAGCAGGAATCTCTGAAACCTTGTAACACTACGCTCCAGCAATATTATTGTTTGTCCGTAATTCCGCCGCCACTGAGTCAATTTTCAAAATCTACCACTCTACCTAAACGATGGAAATATCGAACTTCGGTTCACAAACTTTCTGTTGCTTGAAGATATCTGCATCACACAAGCCCGTGTTTATAATTTATGTCGGTTTGTCAGTCCGTATCTGTTGTATATCAATGCGTCATAAGTACTGAGTCAATCTACTTGACAAAATATTCATAGGACCATCATAGTCGGAGTTACACAAAGGTTGGGCGAACTGGGTGGTACATTTAAGGCTCAGAAAGTTCAGAAAAATATATATGTTGATATAAAAACAGTGAAGTCATCATTTACGACATCATCCCAGAACGCTAAAGTGACGACACCACCGCAGACTCACCAGTTGCAGTTTGTTACCCATTGCACAATCGAGGAAGCAGCATCGCGCCGTGCACGCAACGCCAACACTTCCAAGTTATTTCAAATTATGAGAACATTATACATCGGGCTTTTATCATTAAATTTTCCCATTTATATCGGCAGCTTCTTAATGGTAGAACGTCCCTTTTCATTTTTTCATGTTTTTACCCCTAGCTCCACCGCTACTGGACCGATTTTTAAAACTTACATAGCTTTTTCATCCTTGGCATAGTAGTAACGTTGTGTAAAAATTTCGTTAAAAACCGAGCGGTACTTCATAAGTGATTGGCGGTTATAAGATTAGCGGTCAGATCATCAGACCGACATACAGACAGACAGAAATGAGTGATATGGTTTTCCGTGATGTATATGTCATATAACATCCAAAAAACATAATATCTCAGTTTCGAACTTTTTCTCGCCAGTTGGCGTAGGAAGGAAAATGGAGTCAAGTAAATTGAGGTATTTTCGATGCACCGAATTGATTACATCATAAACTGAACAGATAGTCGGTAAGCTCCAAAAAATAAGGTATGTCCCATTGTAGCATCTGAAACATATCCTGTGGTTTTCATGCTGACATGGGCGGCCGCAAAAATTTTTCTCACGGGATAACGGAAAGAGCTTGAATTTGCTCAGTGGGGAAAATTCTGAGAATCCCCAAAAATGTACACAAAATCCTGCCGAACATGCAAACTTCATGGTCCAACCGGAATCTCAGAGAGGGTCAATATTTTTAGCCTCCTAACAAATATGTTGAATTCTATACGAAAACAACGTTTATACGAATGTCTTTGTGAAGTACTTCTCCACAAAAAACGAGACTCGAAAGAATACTCAATACTTGGAGTTGGTTTAAAATGTTTTAGTATCCGGCTTGATTCCTCTTCCGTTTAAATTGCGTATAGTCCTTTCCCAAAAATACAGTGATACTCATTATGACTCCAAAGCACACTGCTCCGCAAATTTTATCAAAATCGGTCTACCACCGTCCGTTACTGAGATTACGTGGCCACAAAGCTATCCGAAATCAACCGCATCGTTCTTTTTGATGTAAACATTACAGAACAAAAAAATTTTCATTATCAAACATTTAATTATGATTATAATTTTGAAAAGAAAAATTTTGCGGATGCGGCTAGAATTTATTTTATGCTAGAAAAATTCTAACAAGTTCATCGTGTCTTTGTTATTATAAATGTTTGCTATAACTGCAGTTATAAACCATATAAATTATATAAATGCAGTTTCATCTCATTATTCGGTAACTATGGGTTCATACTCAGCAATTGCGAAACCTGTATGTCATTGCATTCATTTGCTCGATTTTTTTTAAATTGATCTTGTAGAAACCTTCAAATGGCGTCAATGGCGAATGTAGTACGATCATTGTTTACTGTAGTCCGTACCATCAGGGGTACGTTTGGAAATCACTTGGCAATGTCATGCCGTACACAGTAATGGAATGTAAATTGACTGATGAAATTTTACTCTGGAATACTATGAAAGTTTTATTTTTAGGATGCATTAATTATTTCACAGTCATGTAATGACACTTGATGATAGCCGACTAATTTCTAACCATGTTTCCTGCGATTATTGTATGTATTATAAAAAATGCTAGGGATACGAGGTAGCCCATTTATCGTGGAAAATATGTATTCAGCCAATTTCGAGCACTTAGTAAAAACTTAATAAAGCAAACGAACAATGAACCATGAGAGTGAACAGTGACAACACTCTTATTCCCAAGGTTCTGAGCACGTGAAGATAAAGTGCACTTCTCATCAAACAATTTACGAAGGCAGCCCAGTATTTACTGGTGGATCCGTCAGTGTCAGTGAATTTCTACCGTAGCCTTATATGTCAATAATTGCTGACTACCAATCTACACGGTCAATGAATATCTCATTCCATGATAAATACTGAAGGATCACAGTAAATTCTAACCGTCTCACATTCGCCATACAAACAAACTAGCGTCGGATTCGAACTTGGCTGCCTCAAAATCCTATATGGCAGGTAACTGACCTTTTTAGAGAAATACATTTTGAGGATGACATTAAAATGACCTTGGAATTCTTCATAGAGGGAATGTGACCTTGGGGTTGAACTCAGTCTTGCGCACTTGTGACTCAAAGACCCGACAATTTTAATAGAAAAACGTGAAAATAGACTGTGTTATACTATTCAAATTCGACTAACGACTGTAAGCGCGGAGGGAGAGGTTCCGTTCCTAATGTTATATAAAAGCTACTGGATTAAAAAAAGAATATTTGGTCCTTCCTGTACATGAATGATGAGCTCCCCTCCCCTACCACTTTTTTTGGTCGGTGATTTCAAATTCATTATATGGACAACCCCTCCCTCCCAAAAAATATGTTATATCTCCTTCCCTGGTCGGACTTTCCGTTAAAAAAATAATATAGTTTATTTTTTAACTCTAAATGAGGAGAACGTACTCATTATTTCCAAACTGAACATTGCTTGAGAGGTGCAGGGTCAGCCTACTTGCAGAAACTTCCTTTAAACGCTATGCGATTGTCACACGGTCCTCAACTGCAGGTCCGATACCCAATTATACAATCAAATTATTGGCCGTCAACTCAGAAGTTCCTCCACATTGAAACACTCTAAGTAATCGTTTCTACAATGTCCGTTGCAGAACGAGCGGGCCTCGCTAATCGACGACAAAATAATAGATGGACACGTCATTCCGAAACAAGTGCTGTTCACTACTCCTACGAAAAAGGACACCCCCTTCCAGACGCTGGCCAATGGAGATAACAACATCAGGGTAGTGATTAGCTTCACGCAGGAACAGAGGGGCAGCAGGATTGTCAGTAAGTATAGTTTTTTCATTACGGATTACCACTCTACCAGTACCCCATAGACAAGGTCTTTCCTAATTTGCTTCTTTAAGATTCACTTAGCATGACTGCTTCAATTACGTTCTTTCAAAAAACTGCAACGATTACCTAACATACAGATATTTAGAAAAACAAAACTTACATCTCTAAAAATGTTCACTGTCCATCAAATGCTCCTTTAATTTTCTTTTAAACATCTTTAAAGTGCAATGTGACTATATCATTATTTATTTAGTTTATTAAATTCAAGTAATCGCTTCTAAAATATTGATTTGATAGGCAAATTACTATTGCAATTTTGGGAATGGAGATCTTTCTATATTTCCTCTAGTATAATAATTGAGGTAATGATTATCGAATTCTAGGTAATATTCTAAATGTTGTGACAAATGATGATTTTTCATTTTAAATATGAAAATAAGAAACAAATATGATATGAAATTTTTTATATTCAACCGCTGCAATTCTTGTAACAGAGATTTCATTTTGTTGTAAGTAGGTATTTTTATTCAATTTAAGTCTCATAACTTGACTTGTAGTTTTCAGAATCTAGCTTCATTGGCAGTGAACAAGATACCTGTAGCTTACAATATTGTAAATGTGGTAGTATAATTGTATTATACACTATTTTTTGAGTTATGTACTAAGACTATGAGAAGCCCTGTAAAAGTAGCAATTTTTAATTGGTCGACTTTTTCAATTATTTCACTATTTATTCTAACTGTGATAGTATTCTTATTTGAGTATTTCCCTATTAGCATACATTTTGTTTTAGAAGCATTCAATTTTAGTTTATTTGCATTCAACCAATTCAGAATTTAGCATATTTAAAGCATTGTCTATAGTTTCATCTGATATGTATATTAATGTACAGTCTGAAAAATCTGAATTTTATAATACCTAGTCTAAAAGATCACAAATATGATTAATGTGGAAAATAAATAGTAGTAGACCCACTACCACTACCTTGCGGTACACCAGCAAAAATTATGCGATTTCTTATTATGAGATTATCAAGTTGACCTGTAAACGACCTTGAATTCCATGGTCAATATCATGATCGAGATCATTTTCAACCGTATTGTTCGCTTATTTCTTTAGTGTCGTCAAAAATATTTTAGTCGCCCTCTAAAAGATCTCATTTTAACAAGGTCACCACACCACTAAATTGCTTCCTTAAAATTCTAAAACTTTTGTCGTGACGATTTTTTTTATTTGAGGGGAGGATGCAGAAATTTTTTGAACACGCTGTATATCGAGTCTCTCATACCTCATTTTCCACTTTTTCCAGACTATGTGAAGAGTCACACCCTTTTCGGCGACGGAAAGCACACTCAGGGCGTAGTGTTAGCAGAAATCGTGAAAGCCAATATACCGGTGAAAAACGGCGTAGTACATCTGATCCAAAAACCTTTAATGGTAGTCGATAGTACTGTAAAGCAGTTGCTAGAGGTAAGGTAATGAAGTAGCTGATCCCGTATCCTCTCCTTTTTACAGCCGATAGCACTATAGATCTATATTTCGTAGATTACTTACACTGTTACACCTCACTGATTTCACAATACATACGCACACATTTTTTGCACCACACTCCATATCATAGAAATTGAATGTTTTGTTTTTTCGCGAAAATGAATAGCTCAGAGCTCAGTTTGTTGCAAGTCGTAACTCCTGAAGCCATCAAGAGTCTGCAGAGTAATACCATGGCATATTTGAGTGATTCTTTTTTTTTATTACGTTTTGTGTCAATGCATTTTTTGTCTGGTGTACATTTGCTCAATTGGTTTATGTTTTAAGAATTTCCTCTAGTTCTTACACAACCGAAATAGAAAATCATGTTATGTAGAAGTATATTTTTAATTTGTTCGGAGTTTTGGGATATACACGGTGTCCGATTTTAATCTGTCCATTTAAATATCTTGCAAAATACGCATTCTTGAAAAAAGCTTCAAACATAATTTGTGGGGCTTCGAGTCATTTCAAGGTCAAGTGAATATTTCACATCAGAATTGGAAAGAGGGAGAAATTCTACGTCCGAATATCTTGATATTGACCTTTAAGCCATTTCGAGATCAAATCAGTTCATTGAAAACGATTTGCTATGGAAAAGATATTTCTCAGCACAGTTGTGAGGTTTGTGGGGATCACCCAAATGTGACCTTGACCATGTCCTTCAGAGATCTTTGAATGAAACCCGTCATTTTTTAGACTAGATTTGGAAAAATCAATAAATTTTCCGACTGAATGTCAAGATTGAATGTTACTTGACGGTCAAGGTCATGCTCAAGGTCATGAATGATGTTCACAAACCTTACAATTGTATTGACGAAATATTTTGCTATAGCAAACTGTTTTTAATGTATCGATTTGACCTTGAAATGGTTTTAAAGGTCATGGTCATGTATATTGAATGTAAATTCTTGCTCTATTCAATCCCGATATAAAAATGATCGATTTTCATTTAAAAGCATTAACTTGACCTAGAATTGACTTTAAAGGCCGTCGTCAAGGGCACTGTTACAGTCACCATCAGCTGGCTCCCTCGAAACCGTACTTTTCTAATACGAAAACTATTTTTCGAAAACTAGCTCATTTATGTTCAAAGTGTTATCCTCCACCATCAGTGCACTTCTGTAGCCTGACCTTCCACAAATGAAATGCTTCAAACCAGTGAGTTTTTTAAATTCCTTCAACAAACTGATTAATTGCTTGATCGATTTCCTCTTCGGACGAAAATTTTCTACCACGCAGATTTATTTTCAAATTGTTGAAGAGCCAGAAGTCACATATTGCCAAATCTGGCGAGTAAGGCGGATGTTCTAGCATTTTGATGTGACTCTGGCGTCATCAGTAAGCTGATGTGTCACCCATCTCGCAACAACTTTTTTAAATGAAGATGATCATCTCAAGAGTTGCCTCTATAGTCACATATGTGCAGCGAGAATCTTCTTCAATTAGCCGCTGAACTTAAGCGATGCTTTCTGGACTCACGCTAGGACATTACGTTCTCCATCAGCCAATGAAACATGCCCTCTTTTAATTCGTCATACCAGCGAAACACACTTGCCCGTAACGGAGCTTCATTACCAAATGCCTGTCGTAACCCTTCGCTACATTGATGTTCAATTAAACCGACTTTAAAGTCATAGTTAATCATAGCGCAATAACTCTCTCGAGACAACTCCATGTTTCGTCTTAAATTTGTTTACACCACGTGCAAATGAACTGAATGCGGCGACTTAATAATGAAGGACCGCCCTTCCCAATAGTGCAAACTTGCCGGTTTTAACTAGTTTAGTTAATGTGCATCTCAAAATATACAGCGTGCCCCTCGTAGGATGCAGTTTTCGGCATATTTAGGTGGGAAGATTAAAACGGGACACCCTCTATAAGTTTTTTTATAAATGTATATTTCAAATTGCCAACGTTCCATTTTTATTTTTTGCCTCCAGAATAAGATACAAAACACGTCCCAAGGAAAAGCAAACATCACCTATGTCAAAGGTAACGCGTTCACCTGAACCCTGCAGTCATTCAACATTGGTAAAGGGTCGCTAATATTTTTTTAGATTTGATTACGATGACATTGTCCAGGGTCTGTCAAGTTTCTTTAAAAAACAATTTTTTTAAATGTAATCGATATGGGTTTAATTAATGTGGATTTTATGTCAGACGTCAAATCGATGGAATATTAAATTTACATTTGTGTTTCTAGAACCAGATCCTTCTATAGCTCTGTCAGCTCCTTTTTTATCGTTTCCGACTTGCAACAGACTGCATTAAAAGGAAAAACGTATTCCTAGCAGAGATAATAATTGACTATCACAGTTGAAGATTCCCCATTGATCAATTTGATCGTTGGGAATAGAAAGATATTTAAATAAAAAATGTGCATGATGGTCTTCGGCTAATTTTTTGATCATTTTTTTCAATTAGCCAATATAAATACAAATGTTTTATTCAAACAGTTGTTGCAGTTTTTAATAGTTAATTTATATACAGCAGAAGTCTGTAATAAAATTTACTGGATATGCCCAAATTCGAACAACCCGAAAAAGTTGAATAAGAGCTGTTTAGATTGAATTCAGGGTATTAAGAAACTTTAACTTTAAAGCAGTGATTTCTTAAGCGATTCATAGAAGAAAAAATAATACAAATGTAAGTCCGGAAATGCTTCAGTTCGGCTCCGACACTGCTCCTCTTACATATCACGACCTCCTTTCCTATATGATCAACCCAATCCACAAGAATTCAAGTGACAAGCCGATCTCTGCCGCTGAGCTGGAAAGAAGACTAGCGACGACTTCCTGTCTGACGAGAGACCTAGAGGTTATCAGTGCTTGGGGACACACAAATCTTGTACAGTTTAGTGCTTCCAAAACACAGTACTGTACGTTGACGAACAAAAAGCGTCATAGCGCTCATCCGATTTCGATAGATGGCCGAGTTCTGCCAAAGAGCCATTCATTTCGCCTAGTTTGAGTCCAGATCTGGCACGAATACATCTTTTCAGTAGCGGCAGCTGCTGGGAAAAAAGCTTGGCTATTTGTTTAGGGCTAAGAGGTACTTTTTACCGCATGACATTCTCACTCTATACAAGACCCAGATAAGGCCTAGCCTCGAGTATTGCTCAGACCTTTGGGGTGCGGCCGCACCGTCTATATTACTTATGCTCGCTGCTGTCCAGAGGAGGGCGGTCCGACTGATCGATGACTTTTTCTCTAACGGACAGTCTCAGCAACGCTGAGCAAGTCTCGCTGAGCGAGTATTATCTTTGATACCTCTTGTCGCTCAGTGACAAACTAGTGGAGGGAGTCCTCGCCGGCAGTGTAAACAGTCAGCAATCAACTACTAATATATACATCTCTTTAGTTTACACGGAATGTATATCTGTTGTACGTTTCTTGAGCGAGAAAATAGCCGATAGTAATTCGCTTCCTCGCCGGCGGTGGGACAAGTACCTTAGGCAGTTCAAAAATCGTATTAACAAAATTTCTTTGGGATCATCATAGCAGCCGCGGTGTCCCGGCATTTAAGCTTCAGCCTACGCGGCTGCTTCGGTATAAAAAAAAGTTACAAGATTTAAAAAAACGTTTTTCCAAGAAATTGTCAAGGTCATCTAGATCGCTGTATTTGAAGCCGTTCATTTTTTGCATATAGTTGTTTGGTTTTTGCATTCCTATACATCTTAATCTAGATTTTCGGCGATATTTTCCAGAAATAGTAAAATCCATTGAAGAATTATCACGATTTTTAGAAAAGAAGAATTTTCGATTGTGACATTCTGTAACTTCAAAATAAAGCATTTTCGGACCTATATTTGTGTCCTAGAAGATTAAATATAGTATACTACAGTTTTTGGATATGATTATTATGAATTAACCATCCTTGACCCAACTATCTTTTATCTTAATTCAACGATTTTTGGTTGTTCGATGACAAAGAAGGTCCTTAAACTGAAACCATTATTTATCATAGCCACCTCGAGATCCCATCAGGCTATTATAAAGTCAAGCATATGCCTCAACCTCCTAAAAAGCAATCTATAAAAACAGTGCAGTATATGTGAATTCGTTCACTAGCAGTCAGCAGCTCCATCTTAGCGCTGTCTAGAATATACCTTAGCTCAGCTGTTGAATGCCATCTGAATGAACCAAGAATCAAGATAACCTGCTAAAGCATATTCCAGGCAACACTAACGTTCAGCTGCTTTCACTAATTTTTCTGAAGAATTAATAATAGTTTCATCCCGAGAATTGTACTAACGCCTTAGGCATTTTGCATTGTATGGCTTTACAATCGCCCTGCAATCGAGGTACTTGATTATCAATCGGCTTTCCATTGATCTATCGTTCACCATTTAGCACAAACACTTACGTATTCACTGTTGACTTGTACTATTGTTTTTGCACACACCTGTCTGCCTGTCTGTCTGTCCGTCACGCATCACAGGAGCACAAGGACTATATTTGCAACGTAGGCAATGTGCAAAGCTACCAGAACTTTCCCGTCAATGCCAATCTCGATTACGAGCTCCACACGGAACAGCCAATAGTACGTCCAATTCACGTAGCGATCATTTTTTTGCAAAATATCGTCGCACAGGCAGCAATTTTGCGTTTTTGCAGTTTTTTGTTGTTGTCCTGTCTCGTGTGTGTTAACGCGTGGCTAATGTATCACTGATCATCAACAACTTATGAGACAAACATAATGAATCAAAAGGGTAAAATGACCATCTTCTCTTTGCCCAACTTTGCGCTGGTATAAAAGATTTGGAATTACCATATCACATATCTAACGGTATTCTCATTTTCATAAACGCTTAGAGCTCTCACACACATAGCCACACTATTCTACTGAAAGTCCCTGAGCAAATGACCATCTTGGCGGCGTCGCGAATTTGAAAGCGTCACGCTGGAAATTCTGAGATGCGTCCAACATCGCCAATCAATCACGTTGCTAGGCAGTAGTAATAGTAGTAGTAGTAGTAAATGAATGAATGAAATTAGAGGCATGCCAGCACCCTCGAGGAACCGGCGAATAGGCCACATAACGGGTCCTAGGCGAGACTTCCTCGTCTACCCCGCAGCCACCCATTATATGCAGGTGACGCATCATCGAGTTATGGCTAGGCAAGATTTCCTCCAACAACCTAAGGCTAGCTCTATCCAATGATAAGCAAAAACGTTCATCCTTGGCACTAGGCCCTAAGATGAGGTCCCGTGGCTGACGGAGACGTCTGGAGATTCCATTCCAGAGACTATTGTCTGGCAATCCACTTGTCCAGTATCCTCCGGGTACCTCTTGGGCTGGCCCATGACCAACAAGCTTGCCCTCTGATGCTGCTTTCGCGAGAGCGTCCGCTATATTATTACCTTTTATCCCAACGTGCCCCGGTACCCACACTAACGATACCGGATGCCTCCCTGCATTTCAATACAAAGCTCTTTGTGCCTTCATCACAGCCTGTCGGAGAAGATTGTTATTCTTCTCCTAGGCATTTCCACCTTCAAAAGGCAGGATACGCAAGTCAGAATCGCATAGATTTCCGCCTGCAAATAGACGTGTTCCGAGAGGCAGTGAGAGACTAGTTCTAGGCCCAAAGAGCCCGGCGCAGACTCCTCTTCACGAACTAACCATCCGTGTACCAAGCTTGCCCGCTTTCTTCGGAGACCTTCCGATTCCCGGAATCCCACTCCACTCTCGTCGGATACTCCACAGTAACCTTGCGCTTAAAGCGATAATTGGGGGTAATCAGATCACCCCTGCTCAGAAGGGCGGGATTCTCCATTTCCAATTCGACTGAGATAGCAGTGACCCACAGACGATGTGCGACTACTCCCGGTCACTGTGAATCAATAGATCCAGCAGAGCTTCCATTGCACTCATTGGAGTCGTCCGTACTGCGCTATTGATATTGATACAAGCCACACGCTGAATTTTGGTTGAGTTTTGCCTTAGTTGTCTCGGTTCCAATGCAAGGCCACCAAATCCAAGAAGCCACACTATAGAGATGGACGTACTATCGTAGGATAGAGCTAGTGCACCACTCTGGGTTTAAGCCACCTCACTCCGACAACCCATCTGCAAGCCCACAATAAATTGCGACTCTTGTTAACCTTGCACCCAACATACTCTCTCCAAGTAGTAGTAGTAATGGTGGGGAAGCAAAGCCTGGAAAGTAGGCCACCTTTTGCCAACCACGAGTGTAGGTACTAACACTCTACTCCACATGCTGATCCTGTTGTCTGTCCAACCTTCCTGGTCTCCTAATAAAGATCAGGATGTGCGACCACTCCACTGAATGAGCGACTTCACTGTCAAACTACACGTCTCTGAATAGGTTGTAGTACGCGGGGTAAAAGCCTAGGTAGTAGAACGCAGTTTCGTCCTCCTCCCAGTACATGGGGCAAGTGCGGTCTCTTTTTACCCTTAGTAGGGAAGAGTGCTTGTCTAATGTACAGTGGCCGGTAAGGGACCCCACCAAAATATTGGGTAATTCCCAACTTCTGTCCAGTAGCCAGCCCGTCCGACGTTTCTCGGGGCCCGCTACGAACCACTTAGCGTGCCTGCTGTCATCTTTCTCGCCACGCTATTCCCAGCTTCCTATACGGCCATTCGTTCAATGTGTTGTTGACCCGGCGCCAACTTATACCTATAGTCCATTTCTCAAAGAAAGAAACTAAACCCGAGCATATTCACACATGCTTCACGTGATCGGATTACAGAACGCCGAGCACGTTACACGTCCGGCGAGGCTGCCGACAGCTCCATGTCGTCTCCCACATCACCTTCCTCGTTTGGCATTGGTCCTGCGTATGGGCTCGACCGATTTTGCCCAAACCAGTTATGCTACATGTTTCTTGAAAAGATCAACATTCTGATCATGCACTGAACACTCGCTTGTTATGTTTTGGTTTAATATTTTCTTGGATCGAGACCGATACAGGGGCTTCTGGCCCCCGGCGTAGTCAGGCAGTTGGTTCTCATCACCAATATTCTACTGACTCAGGCTTCTGGGTCTACCATTGCTATCGGAACATATAAATATGCTCCGCTCAGTGCACTGTTGTAACTCCTCATATATCTCTGCCTGGAAGACCGTTCTGTAGGTTCCACGCGTGAAGCATTTCTGCGCGTCTCTACCTTCCAGGTTTCCTTGGAACAGGCTCCATCGGTGACACACCATAAAGCGGAAATTGAATATTTCCATTCACCCATTCTTCCCTTGGGATGAGGAATGAGAATTGTAAACCTGTCCTTATAGCGTTCTTGGCCATTCCCATTTCTACGTGGAGAGATTCTTCTTCGTCGCATTCTTGATCCTCGAATTTGCCAACCACCAGTTCTCATATCACCCACATACCCTTGCTAAACAACATACTTTAAAATGCTTGACTGTTAGTCACGTCACTGAGACATGCTTAAAGTGCGTCATCAGTGTTTTCCCGACATTTGATAACTGGTAATATTCATCTGCTTCGAACTTTATATACGGCAATATGGTTTCCGGCAATGATGATCATCGGAAGACCTCCTAGCTTACGTCACGCAACTGTGGAGTAATCTCATCCAGTCATACAGTGAGGCTCATGTCGTTACTCTTGAGATCAGATTTCGGTCAGCTGTGCTATGGTTTCTTATGCAAACTTCCAGCCTATGGCCTCCTACAGAACCTTTGCAGATAGGTGGCTGGGACGCTCAGACTACAAGATATTTATTTATTGATGGGTTCTCTTCTTCATCCCACAATAGCAACGCGGGTGTTCCCTAGGGGTCGGTCTTGGCTCCGCCATTGCTTCTATTACATATCGACGACCTCCTATCCTGTACGATCAATCCGATCCATAGCTTTGCTGATGACAACGCTCTATATGTATAGATGAATTCAGAGTGTCAAGCCGATCTTTGCGGGTAACCTGGAGAGAAGAAAACTAGCGGCGACTTCCTCACTGACGGGAGATCTGGAAGTTATCACTGCTTGATTATGCAACAGTATGGTACAGTTTAATGCTTCCAAAGCACAGTACTGTGTGTGAGCGATAAGCTTGCCTTACAGATCCGCCTGACTTCGGCGTCCCATCATAACCGTGTGAAGTTCGTACACCTAGAACTGTCGGGTATGACCACTCCTTTGTCCCTAGGGTGTCGGGATTGTAGAACAATCTAACTGAGGAGGCTTTTCCCAGTTCTACTAGATTATAGACAGTTCAAAAATCAGATTAACAAACTGTCTTTCAGCAGCTGTGCCCCGGCTTCTGCCTGCGTGGCTGCTTCGGTATAAAAGAAATCGCAGATGAAGTGGTGTATCAAGAGTGTCTTCCGTTTGTTTTAATTCATTCTTGTTCGCCGTAGTTAATAAATTACGGAGATATCTTCGAATTTCCTTTCAAAACAACGAAAATGAAGTTCTTACACTGTCGCCGTCACTTGACAAGCAAAAGATGCACCTACCTACTCTATCTGGTGACATGTGATTCCAGACGTAGCCATAATTGCATCATTGGGACGTCGCCGTGTCGTTTTTGCTCTACCTAACTATAATTTAAAAATTCAAAAAGATGTTATCTGAAATTTTATGTGGTTCAATCAAGCAATTTGGGCAAAGAGATGACATGAACAGATTCAATTGCAACTTACGAATGTCTCAAATGCACCAATATGCAGCTTTGCTAATACCAACATCCATTAAAGAAGCATCTCAAAACTGTCCCTTTCAAGCTACGAGTAAGTCGATTCTAGAAACAGTGCACAGTTTACCACTCGTCAAATTGCTGTCAAAATCCTAAACAGAGCTGGCGGACACATGTCGAAATTCCGTTTGGTGAGAGTTTAAACTGTGTAATGTGTGAAATAAAGTGTAAGATCAGCAATCTCAAGTATTTGTGCTTCTTTAATTTTCAGATCACCTTAGATAACGAACAGGCTTGCTTAACAGACATTTGAAACTCATTACAAAACCACGGCTTTCCTGCGACACCAAGTTGTATCATATGTAAAAAAATTAAAAATTGCGGAATCCTAAAGAAATTATGTACGAGTCGATTAAAATACATTATAGTTCAAGTTGTAGGATATCATTAGGTATCAGTAGGCTCACAAAACATTATCACATGGCCAAAGTAAACTTGTACAAATACCGCATGTCCTAAACTGTAGACTTAAGGCGTATGATAAAACTAGAGAACGTCGAACCTTGTTTATTCATCTACGAGCCCCTTCCCACTTCAGTTGGCCCACTTCAAGATTTGTACCAAAATATGCCTTTATAAACTAAACATGACGAAACTATTTACTTCTAAAACAATTTATTTTCTCAAAAACATTTTAGATACACTCTAGTCGTAAAAAATACATATTTGAAATCACTTTGACCTATAAATCATAGAACATCTGAACAAATAAACAATGTGCGAATAAATGCGCGAAGTTAACAAAGCAACAATTGAAAGATTACCATTGGGTAACATCACCTTTATTTTTTGTTACGGCTGAAATTCTTTGGGGCATAGTGTTAACCAAGTTTTGGAAAACATTTGGTATAAGACAATCTCATATTTCTTGAAGCTTTTGTCTCAGTTCGGTGATTGTACGAGCAGTATGTTGTCGTAGAAACTGTTTCATCTCGTGCCACAAAGATTCAATAAGTGACAGACCTGGACTGCTAGAAACCCATTTCAAAAGTGGTACATTATTTTCTTCCATCCATTTTATAGCCTTTTTTGAGGGACGGCACGCTGCACCATCTTGCTGAAACACAAAATCTTGGCCGGATGTCAATCATTCTGCCATCACTGGTAAAAGCGATTCTACCAAAATTGCCAAATATTTGTTTGTATCCACATTTCCATCAATAAAATGAAGTTTTCCTACTCCATTTGATGACATACTGCCCCAGACCATAATGGATGCCGAAAACTTCACTTTTCTCTTCAGAGAGTCAACATGGAATGCTTCATTTTTTTTGCGAATAACTCTACTGCGACTGTCATCAACACAAACTTCGAGTCGGGCCTCATCACTCCATTGTATTGCACACCATTGTTGAGGTGTCCGTTGTCTATGTTCTTTAGCCCATCTAAGCCGATTATTCTTTTGCAGTGGAGTTAATAGTGGCTTTTCTTTGGCCTATAAACAAGTTGTGCAACTTTAGGGTTCTTACTTCACTTTTTCTTATAAGAAAACTTACCTTGCAAGTGCTAAATCCCAGGGCCTTCCAACAGCGTCACTCCACAGAGCACTTAATTGTAAATAATTGGCACGCGTGTTTTTCACGATTATTCTTCTTAATGCTCTTCGGTCGGCATTTGTGATATTACTGTTGTTCACATATCCTAGCTTAATATTAACTGAACCAGTTACGTTATATCTTCTAACAATATTTCTCACACTGTACTGCGATAAGTCTGACAAAGTTGCAATTTCTGAGTTTGATTCACCAGATTCAAAAAATTTAATTATCAGTAACCGAATTTTCTCACTAATAACCTTTCCTCTACCCATTTTAAAAACCTTAACTACCCAACACTATTTTAAACGTATTCTGACAGCTGTGATTAATAAAAACAATTGTCATGGCTTTTATTTTTCACAGCCACCTATGCGTTATAGACTTATTTTGCATTGAAATGAAAATAGGTTGATATGCTGTAATTGCAACATGTGTTATTTTTATGCTGCAAATTTGATCAGGGAGTGATAAAGTTGGTGTTTTCTACTATATATTATCAAAATATTCATTGTTAATATTTTAATCCTATAACACCCTGCTACATTTTTATTATTTGTGTTTGATAAGAAAAAACTAAGATTTCAATAGTTGGGCCAACTGAAGTGGGAATGGGCTCGTAATTAAAAAAATACATATTTAGCTTATCAGCAAAAAATAGAATTCGGTCATGCTCAGAGTGCATTAACGCTTCAATAAGGTACGGCCAACTGAAATATTGTATCTTATTTGAGCACAGGATAATGTAGACTTGTTTTTTTTTTGATAGAATAAACAAGGTCACCATAAAGCTTTATAGAACCCACATCGAACATTCTAAATAAATAGTGTAGCCTTCCGAACACCAAAAACATAATCTGTAAAATGTTATTAACGTATATTTTTCCGCCCATCTTTTGGAAACTGCAGCAATACAAGGTAAAAGGCCTACATCTATACCTATATCTATATATGTTATGCGTATGAAATTTCTTGAGACCACACACAACACCAAAGCAGCAATGATTCAAGTAAATGTGTAGCCCTTAACTGAGATCGTACAAACCCCCTACTGTTTCACTACTTGCATGGTTTTCATTTTCGTTTTCTTGGCTTATTTGCTTTCTTTGTCCACTTTTATGTATTATACGTATGTATGTATTGTATATTGTATTGAATATAATATAGTATTTAGGCATGTCGAAATTGCTGTATTAATAATTATTAAAAAGCTATACTATAGAGTCTATAGTAAGGCATTTTGAGTTGAGTTTTGCATGTTTTAAACCACTCATCGAGCGCGTTCGTTTTCATTTCCTTAACAGGCACACTATTTCTCAAGCACAAACTTAAGACTGGTGAATCGTATGTTAAGAGATAAGGTGAGAATGGAGTATTGTCCAAAATTTGTATTTCGCTGAAATATGAGTATCTTGCTTCTAAAAAGTGCAGCGTACACCAAAACCAAAAAGTATTAAAAAACACATGTGAATCAGCACAAAGGAAGTTAATGAAGTGTAAGGAGGATGCTTAAAAACCTTTTTACAATTTGAGGTACGCGGAACAAAAATCAAAGCGCATTTGCTAATTCCTTTACCTGAGAATACAGAGAATCTAAATGTTCTTTTCCGATGTGTAAATTTGAAACACGTTTTCTCCAAGACAAGAACATTATTAAAAACACAATTTTGTCTGATTGTAAAATACACCTTTATATAGTTGCGACGATTTAAATCAAATGATTGTAAAAACAGGTTCCAGGCATAAATAACTGAAAGCACTCATCGGGGATTCAAAAACGGAAGAAGTTTATTCAAAACTATACATTATGTATATATTCGTAAATTAAACTTTCGAAAACACAGTTTACAAGAACAAAAACAGTGTATAGTTTAAGATATTATCTTCATGAATAAATAATTACAAATAAAAATTATTAACGAATACATAAATGGTATTATAATATGTACAGTGAACAAAAACGTTACTCGGGCCAACCTACAAAAAACATAAACCCAAAATATGTGCTTAGGGTGTCAATTGTAATACTTATATAGGAAAACTAATTTAAAGGCTTTTTCGCGATTTCGAAGTTTGGAATTTACCAAACCAAATGTCGACAGATGCTGAAGCTGTAACAGATATCAGTTGTTTAATGGTGAGCAATACTTTTTGAATAGCATCGACATTCTATAGAGATTTCCACCAATTTAAAGCTTTGAAGTTTTAAGAATTTTTAAATCAAACGATATGTCGGTTAACGGATCTGATTTTGAATTATTGGTGGCACTGGGAAGGAGTTCTTTTGCGGCTTTCAAAACACAACTCTTTTCGCCGTCTGCTAATAGATGTGTTCTTTTCGGATCAAGAAGATATGCTAACAGATGGTATGGAGTGATGCATTGTTCCTATAGGTGTCTCAAATGCCGATTTGAAATCAATGAATTCTTGTACGATATCAAAAAGGGTTGCATGAGTTCTTTGAAGCCAGTCAATGGCAGCAAAAATAGGTATCAGAATCGCTAAATGCTCCTTAGCAGATCTTATAAAATACATGTATGATTTTTTCTCACTACGGTATCGATTTAATTGTTATGCTCCTAGCTAATTTTCAGACGTTTTGGCCACGATTCAGTGTATGCTTGTAAGTACTCAGCCAGTGAATTCCACCTTAGGTGTCACCACAAGTGTTTTTGTATGTCACCGATAAGATTTTCTTACTACAAATCTAGATAACAAATACTTTTTGGCGAATAGAGAAAAATAACGAAAATAAGTTATTTCTAAGTTAATTTTTGCCATATTTAAGGAAAAAATCAGTACAAATTGATAAAAATTCAGGATTTAATCGAAAAAATCAGATTTTGTGATTTTTTCAGAAAAATCATGATTTTTTCAACACTGCCATCATAGCATTCTAAACGAATTTTTCATATTTTTTTTACTTCAATTCTGATCCCTAAAAACACCATATGTATAAAACATCGTTATATTATATAATTGTTCAGTATCAAAACATTGAATCATTTTACGCACGAACAATTATTGAATTTCGATACTTGCTTGTGTTAATTCAGATTGCCAACGTCATTATCTACCTACATAGTTACATCAAGATTAGCAGAATAATGATAAAATTAAATTATGCCATATAACCTTCAAACTTCCGCAGATGAGTATCAGTGTCAACGTATATCCTGATGAAATTATGAGCTATCAATAAATACCATAATCGGCCTTTTCGAATACATATATGATAACAATTAATTCGATATACATACAGGGTGGTTCAGAGAACAGCCGCAATTTTTCTAGAGCAGAAAACAAGAAAAAGTTCCAAGTAGAACTGAATCTGTTTGCCTCCTGTCTCTGTAACCATGACCAAGCCCAACGTTGTTTAATGCTTTTAGCGGTCATCAGTTCGGTATATATCTAGTCGTGTTGATAAAGACAAATGGAAAGCAAACAAGTTGACACGACCTTCTAAAAAACTCAGAATTTTGTTCGCTAAGAGGGACTTACAACTGTAACCTACGAGCAATTCACCCAAGCTTGCTATAAAACACAACAAAAAAACGTCCGCAAAAATAAAACTCAAAGGGTTGCTGCATGTTGTGCTTGATATATGCTGTGCTTATCTGCTTCTTTGCTTGTACTGTAATTCTTTATACATATAAATATACTTCTGCTTTTTGTAGGTCTATCTTTGTTTAACCTGTGAATTTTATGTAGCTTTGATCTATACAAGTATATTATTACTGCCCTATATAAACTGTTTTTGATCTTTAGTCACATTTATATGGAAGTATCTAGACTGTTAGTCACAAAAATAGTTTTGTTTTCAAATGCAACAAATTAGCCTTGTCGATGAAACAAAATCAACTCTGTAGTTTCACATCAAACTATTATATCTCTATGAATGTTGTAGAACCGCTGCTATATGTAGGAAATGATACATGTTAGCTATCAGCTTTTACAGTATAGCTTTCGATATATACGTATCATCAAATTCCAAACAAATGTTTGGCAACTGAAATAAATTCAAATATTGGCAATATTCAATTTCATATTGTATATTTTGTATCATGATTTATTGATTTTCCTCTAATTTATCTATGTTATAGAGGGTGTTGATGAAACACCTGGCCAAACTTTAAAAGGTGATTTTAAGAAGAAGAGTTCCCTTAAGTATCGACCGGTAAAGCTTCTAAATACAGGGACACAAGCTTTTCTAAAACCGTTCTCTCGAATGCATATTTGTTAAAATCTAGTGGGAAGGAAAACTAAAATTGTTTAAGAGCAACCTCAAATTGTCATGGTCGTCTAGATCGCTGGATTCGGATTTGTTGTTTATTTCTATTGGAAGATTTCGGTTTAAAACTAAACGACATCTGAGCACGCAAAGTTTCAACGAACATTAAATATCATTTTCACCAAAAAGAACGACATTTATATAATCTTTTGGAATTAGGGTCATTCGATTTGTCAAGATACTAGTTTAGATACGGCTAGAGGAAACTGCAAGTGCCCCAAGATATTTTTTTATCATTAATAACCAGTCATCTTACAAACATTCGAAGGACCTCGCATAAAAAAATATGCAAAATGGGCTCCAGATCTAGACGATTTGTCTAAAATTGTATTATATATTTCTCGCTTTCCTGAACAAAACTTTTCATGCTATCAAAGCAACCATCTCATGATTAGTTACTGAGAGTTAGGGCTCTATTTTTAAAAATGGTGAATGTGCCACTTGCAGTTCTCAGACCAAATACTCGGAGAGTTGTTATATTGAAGTGAGTATTCCATTTAAAATCTATTTGGGGTAGGAGTATTGGGAGGTGTCGTTTTGATCCTGGCCATCATCGTTACAGGGTCAATTTAAGGGCAAGCTTGTTTCTATATCATGACACTGAAACTGCTCTGGGACGGGTTGATTGAGAATTAAAAGATATACGCAAGGGTACGGAAAAGTCGTGTTTTTTTAGTTGTGTTTGACCTTTTCTAGGTCAATGTTGATTATGAAGACGTAATAGAAAGAAAAAGCGCAGTAATGTGAACTCAGTTTTAGGGTATTGAAATTTATTGACTATTGATTTAAGCTTTTTTTCTGCTTACGGCATATCGAACTCTTTCGCAAGATAAAAAACTTCAATCTTATGAAGAGCATATTAAAAAAAACATGTGCGCTCAGGGCTTGGAAGCCAAACTTATATCTGCAATAAGCCCATTAGTCATTGCATAATATCGGTCTTTCATTAATTTTTAGATAAGATTTGCATGCACAGTCAATACTTTATTGTATTTATAAAACGTGAGTAAATGATATGAATACCTTCTACTTGATCTAAGGCTGGCTCTTGTGCCGTTACTAACAGCTGAAGCACTAATGTGGCATTGTCAAATCCAATAATTAATAATTGGGGGATGATACATATTAATAGGAGCATCGGCTACTTTATAAAGGTTTCCTAGATTCTATGTCAACTTTTACCGTTTTTGCAAATCGGCAAACCGAATCCGCCTATTTCTCAAAAAGTAATCAAAGGCTTGTTTTGGTCCCATGAGAAGTTTTGTCCAGTAAAGCGAAAAATATCTCATATCGATTTTTTGTCGAATCGACCGGAGCCCATTTTTTCATGTTTTGTGTCGGGTCGTTTCATATATTGAGTCACAATTTTCAAATTTTCATTTACTCTGCAACATAACGTCTTGTCGTTGTTCATCTACCTACAAGTGTTCGTCAATTTCTTTAACGAACAGATTAACAAGATGCGATCAGACTGGATGCCTTCGAAGCCAACAGAGTTTTGAAATTTTCAGCAGCAATGAATTTTCTTCCCCTTTTGATACCCCTTACCCCTAGTCAGTCTTAGAAATCTTACATCAGCATGGTCTGAAAAAATTCAGTTACCTCACAATTATCTTATATTTTCACCATAGAGTAGTTATATGAAGAGAAGACAGTTAGACAAGGAAAAGAAAACTAGAGAGAGATAAGAACCTCCAAAAACATGGCATCCATAAAACTACGAATGGTGTCTGAGACGAATGTTCTCATTTAACCGGAAATAAATACTGTTGCCAGATAGATTATCCTTTTTTTGATGAATTAATTGACAATAACTTGTAGTTAACGCATTTATTGTCCAAATGTACTGATGTTTGGACATTTATTCATGGTGGGGATACTTATTATCTATTTGCAACCTAGGAAATATGTTTCGCAATAAAGTTATAAAGCACACTTCGCGAGAAGCTATTCTCAAAATCCGTAAGTTATCACATATTTAACTTTAAGGCCTCTACGCGGATGCTACAGCCTGGCCTTAACACGATATGTTTATTTAATTCGTATGACTTTTTGAAGTAACCACCGAAAACCATGAAAAGAGCTGAAATCCATTCTGGTTAGTATAATTCTAGCGTTTTATAAATATTTTATGACAACATGGCCTTACCGCTTGTGTATTCAAGGACCGTCCGGACACAGATGGCTGTTTTTGACTAATTTTTATCATGTTTCAATACGCGACGATATAACAAAATAATTATGATCGGCTTCACTCTATAACGCAGAAAACTCGCAATGTATTGGGGTTGACCCTCTGGATTGTAAAGGCATTCCACGTTGCAAGTGACTTCTCTTGATATAACCACTCTTTGTTTTCACTAATGGGTAGGTAGCGCCATAGACTTTATGGTCCGACGCCCTCTCGTATAAACCTTGTGAACAGGAAAAGTAAAAACCTGCAATATCTGATATACAGGGTGTTTCAGAAAGGCGTGCTCCAATATTTCTGGGTTTGAAAGAACATCCAAAAACAATAAAAAACGTAACTATAAATATGGGTCTAAAGATACTCCACTATCGAGATACAGAGTGATGAAGTTCAATTTAAGAAATTTAAAAAAAATCATATCTACGGAGCGGTTTAAGATACTGAGTTACGATTATAGACTTTTAGTTAGCACATTATCAGCAATAAACACACAGAGTTTTCCGGCCCAAACTAAACCAGGACGCAGAAACTGTAGTACCTGGACATCTAGTAGGAAATATTTTCTACGTCACTGGCCTTTTCGGGGAAAAGAAGTGCATATTATAAAATACCATTTAATTCGTTTTGGAAATGTTTCGGTTTGAGAATCCTAAAATATTATTATCAACAGATTTAACCTCACTTTTTCAGAAAACACCGTGAAGCTTGATATTGGAAACACTCTATGGCATGTGGAGAAAGCTTATCCCCAATCAGTGGTGTGGAAGCTTACCATTCATCAAACCTTGTTTATGTATGACACTGGTTTTCATGGTATATTTCTCCTGGTATCACTATATTAGATTCTTCTGTTTGTCTAAAATCACAACTAGTAATTGTAAAACCAATCAATTTGATTAAAATTCTTGTCAGTTTACTTCTGAAATTATCCGTCTTTTTTTCTCAAAATTCTTTAGCATTTCGAATTAAGTGACCTCAGCAAAATAGTTATCACAAATCGTTAGCAAATTCGGACCCGGAGTATGAGGACGACGAGAAGGCATTCAGCACTGTTTGTATTAAGCCAGGTATTTTCCAAAGAGTCAGAGAATCTGTGGCATAGAGCACGGGCTTGTGTTGAATCCAGAATGTTATAGCATTTATTCAGCATTATTTTTTGTTCCCAATGTTATGTCCTCATACACTGAAAATTAATGTATTGTTTATTGTTGTCGTGTTTAATTCTTATTAGCTGTATTTATTTATTTTCGATGAAATAAACGTTAACTATTAACAGAAATTAATATGCCTGAAAAAATAGTGGCGTGCACTGGAAAGGCTTAATGTATTGTAAGATTCTATGCTAATGATTGAGGACAAGACACGCATATTATTCAATGTTTTCAGAATAGGGGAGGCTATGCCTTTTCATAAGAATATTTTAGGATTTTACCTCACATATTCAACCCAAAATTTTTACAAGAGTGATCCGAAAAAAATATGAAAAATCGAATGCTATTTTATGTATAAAGTGCACTTCTTTTCTCCTAAAAGGCTAGTGGCGTAAAAAATATTTCCTCTTAGGGATTCAGGTGTCCCATTTTCTACACCCCTGGTTTAGTTGGGCCGGGAAGCTGTGTGTGCTTATTGCTCATGATGTGCTCAACGAACGTCGAGAATCTTAACTTTTCTTTACCCGCTCCGTAGAAGTATTTTTTCAATTTCGTAAGTAAAAATTCATCTCCCTATATCTCGGTAGGGGGGACCCATTTTTATGGAAACTTTTTTTTGTTATTTTTGGATGTACTTTCTACCCTACAAATATTGGCATGTCTTTCGGAAACTCTGTATAATCTTCGTAGTCTTTACAAATAATCACAAGCCTGCAACAAACTTCCTATTCAATGAGCCTAAAAAAATTGTACTTTCTGTAGGAGCAAAATGGCCGTATTTTAAGCAGCTTCTTCAATGCTATCAAGGACTTGGGACCAGAAGGTGACGCTCTACTCAGACAGATCGAACGCGCTCAGGACGTAACCCTGTTCGCGCCTTGTAATGACGCATTCGATGGAGATTTGACCTTGAAGGCCATGATGAGGGACAAGACCAGGTTCCTCGATATTCTAAAGATGCATATTAATCTTGAAGAAAGGCTGTACATGGACAAGATTCTCAAGAATCAGCTGCAAAATAAGGTAAGGCTGTCGACGGGTACGATTATGGGTTATAGTATCAAACTTTGGAGATAAGATTCATGTTCATAAATGTGTACAACTATTATATCTAGTTGATGCATGGTATCACCGGTATCAGAAGCTTCTTAATAATGTAGCATCGTTTTCAAACACCAAAGATCTAATATTTAATACTTACCCTCCCCCTATAACCTCCAACCTCCAATTTTCAATCTCAAAAAGCAAAATTATTTTAATTCTCATTTTTTAGTTTTTCGTCCTTAAATGCTCCGCCACTGGTGGTCATCTCAATTACATTAGTAATAATTAGGAGATTGCAGATACGGTTAAGCATTTTCGAATAAATTTCTTTCTTTTTGACGTTAAGCACCACAATGACCCTTTAAGCTCTTATTTCAGATCTACCATTATGCATCTATGCAAAAAATAAATGTGCAAATAGACGATTTTTGACGTTTTTCTGTAAAATAGCAATGTAATTCTCAAGGTATTTTCATCCTCTACAACTTTTTTGGAACACTTACTCTAATAATTCCGACTGATTCCGAAAAAGTGATTTTTACAACTTTGTCTCTTAATCAAAAAGTTATCCAACCTTTTTGTTATCCATTTTTGTATACAGGTAGATTTTTGGCTAGCTTGATCTAAAACCATAATATCCCATTTCCTCGCCAGTACTAGTGGCTGGCGAAGCAAAACCGACTTAGATTGTCTATCGCTAATATATTATAGAAGCTCTATGTTAATGCCCGCATATGATGCAGGTGGCCTTAATTATATCAGTATAGAATTCCTAGCACGACCCATTAACACCCTACAAAGTCCTGCTGAAATTCCGATGACGTAAAGCTGTGAGTACATGCCGTGCTTCCCAGATATAAACTGAGGAGGGATTAATAAAGTTATAGAGTTGGACTTTACGGCATACAACGTCGGCCTAAAACCTGTCTACACGTCATGTTGGACACTACATGTGCGGTTCTGAGATTATCTTTGGTTTATGTGCATATATATATATATATAGGGCAATTTGTCTGACGGCTTGAGTTCAATGTGTACGAGAGAGAAGCGGAGAAGTGTGTATCAACATATGTTAGAAAGAGATAGAAGCCCGCTGACTTCTCACTCGTGCATATTGAACTCAAACCGTCAGACATTTTTAGTTTTCAGTGAATAGCAACACTACATAGAGGAACTGCAGCATATTTGGAATACTGGTTTGTATTTTGGAAATAAATTGCAAGATAAATGGGACAGCAAAATAAAAAATGGATCAAATTATTGGGAAGCTATTAAATTTTAATGATATAAACAATAAAATAAAACGAAAGCCAGGAACCCCATCAAAATATTTATCAAAATAAAAAACAATAAAAGCGTAAATTCAATTAGGCTGCAGGTAATTTAAAATATAGTATTCCAAATTATAATCACCCTTTTTGAAAATTCAAAAAATCTCGCATTTTCTAAGAAACTATTAATTTTCTCAACTTTGTAACCGTTTTACAGTCTTTGGTAATTAATCTGTTTAACAAAATAGCGTATAATTATTAATTATTAAGTAATCAGTCACAATAATCGGAAATCAGTATTTAGCCTAGTTTAGTGTTCTTAGTTCCTGTTCTTACAATAGTCACAGATAAACTACACACTGGATGCATAACCACTACAAGCAGCGTGAACCCACAATTAGTACATGAAGTACTGTACCTATTCCAATTTAACAACATGACATCCTAACTTAAAATTCCATGTCACATTTTTAATTCTAAATATACTCACAAAATCATAATACAACAATGTAAACTAAATGATTATCAATGATTCCTACCGAAAAAGTTTTCAAAGTAGACACGGGATATGTCAAGGTGGCGTCCTGTTTGTAGTACTTGTGATTTTATGTGATTTACGACATTATACTCTCGTCAGAAAAATACAGATAGCGTTTACATTAATTTATTTAGATAACTAAATATTTCAAGTTATCTGCAGTATTCCAAATATTCTGCACTTCCTCTATATTTGAAGAAAAATCAAGTTAGCGTGTAAATAATAAGCGTCATTTAAGGTCGATCAATCCGAACCACTGTTTTGTCGACGATAGCACTTTACTCGTACAAGCAGGCCAGTGTGGCCTTTCTGACGAGAGACCTTAAAGTTGCTTGGGATCCCAACAATCTGGTTAAATGCTTACAAACTCTATTGTGCCTTGACTAACCATTTTTCATCAACAGAAAAGAAAAACCGATAATCTACGTCAGCCATGACAAAACGGTGATAGACACTTATAAGTATAGTTGTAAACATAAGGGGTAGACATTTTCATATAGTTTAACTATCTAAAAACTGTAACTTTTGTATCCTGGCAGTAAAATTTCTGCTCTATTTATTTTGTATGAATAATTGTTAGAGCTAGAGACATTAATATCAAAATGCACCGACATATTTTCGACGCAATGACTACTTTTATTCACCTACTGTTTATTATGTAATCGATGGACGCTTTAATCTGGATTAAGCTTAAATTAAGAATGGTGCTAGTCTACACGGTTAAACTATCAACATTACAGATCGCGGAACTCGGTAGTAAGATTTATATAAGACCAAACAATAATTATATCGCTGTTCACTACACAAAACATTTACACTGCAGCAATGAACGACATATCCCTCCAGAAGGTAGCCAACCCAATCGAAAGCCGTACCTGCACGAAAATAGTGATGTGCTTTCTAGCTAATTTCTGTGTACTGGTTCAATAGGTCGCGTTTCTCTAAAATGAACTAGTTCTATGAACTAGTTCACGAACGAACTATTATACGAAAGACTACCATATAACTGCTTTGATACACCTCATATTGTTGATTTAGTTCGTTTTTCATTTTTTAAAATTGATGTTTAAAATTTGAATAGTCCACTTAAACTGTCGATTACATAGCAGATGTAGCTATGAGGCATTCATACACAACAATGTCTGATAATGATGGATGCACTTTTTTTTGCTTGAACCATTTCAGAAGAGCGGAAAATGAACCACCAAAGAAAAAAAACAAATCTAGACCTTTGGGACCATTTTGACCTTGAGTTAAAACGTTTTTCCAGATATCAAAGTTCATTTTCAGCAGGAATTATCAAACTGGATTATTTTTTTAATGAACTGTATTCATCGTGAACAGGAGATCCGCTGAAGTGGTGGTAGGAAAGAGCAACAATCTGTCCCACAGCATTAGGGATAGTTAAAAAAGGTTTGTGTCTTATAGCAATATTTGTGGTGGGCTGGCTTTCCGAATACTGTGCAAGTCTTGACAGAAAGAACGAATATACTAAAAGTCGATAAAGTTAAAAACATGTTTTTAATTGGAAATTTGTAGTTAATTTACATTTTCGTTTTGTTATTGTTTTGTTATCATTAGCCTGAATGGACGATCTGTTGTATAAAAAGATAGCTAATTTTTATTTCTTTCGGCGTTTGTAACTGCGTTAACTTGTTACTATCTTTTTTAGTAACTTCATTTTGTCCTGTTGGATATCTGTGATCTAAACTACGATTGTATCGAGACAACCAGTTATACAAGCTTCCTCTCACTTGGTTGCCTATGGCGGTGTCTCGTCTCCTAGTTCGCTTGGATCATCGGAATCCTTGCTGTTAATGGTGAATAAGTTAACGAGTTATTCGAGGTACAATGAATTATCATAATAATTGTTCATTAGAACTAGTTCGTTCGCGAACTACACATCACTACACGAAAATGGAAATACGTATACTTTGTAAAAAAATTAAGACGTATTAGGAAGCTCATAAAGTCTTTAGCTGAATCTCATGAACTTTTAGGCAAGCCGTACCATGGCGCTGAGAAACACTTATGCTCACCACTATGTGCCTGTAGAGATCCGACTCTAGGTGTCGACGTTGCCACTCCTCGAATTGTTGCTACAGACTTTGAGATTTATTTTTCGTTGAGAAATTCGGGGAATACCAAATATTGGTAACAATTACGAGAGAGATTGTGGAAGTAGGATGGATTATTTCTTGCGCAACTCAACGATACAAAAAATCTGAATGCGTGAAGGTTCATCTACTCGACTCTATTTCATCTGCTACTTCAATTAGAGGCATAAATTACATCGTTCAGAACAGGAACCCTGCCAAATAGCTTCTTACTCCCAGACCCATACACAAACATGTTCTAACATGTTATCAACACCCGTACGCGCGTAATTCACCAAGAACAAAGAAACAGTTGCCGTAACATGTCGTGGGGCATCCGCCTCTAAATCAGGGCCCCTGCAATTAGCATCCAGCATGGAAAACGGAACAGCTAATCTCTGCCCCACTGCATTTCGCTGTAACAGTCCAATGTTCCAGAGCTGCCAGACTTAGTTTCTGGGACATTGAAGAGCGTTTATATTGTAACGTCCTCTAATTGCTGGAGTATTTTTCGACTTATCCAAAGCACTTGACATCATTAATGTAGATTTGCTGAGGGAGAAACTTTCCAATATTGGTATTATAGACTTAATCCTGGACTGGCTAGTGTCTTTCTGACAGACAGGGAACTTAAAGCGAAAGTGAACGATGCGCAGTCAGCTACCTATAAAATAAATATAGGTGCAACTCAGGGATCTGTATTGGCACCACTTTTTTTATCTTGTTTATAAACGACCTGAAACTGTCAGGCTTAGTCGTACGCTGATGGCCCATCGGCGGTAGTAACTGGAGAATTGCCTGAATATATACATATCTTCCTTAACATTGGAATAATAAAAGCTGAGTTGGAAGAGTGGTTCCAAACAAATCGCTTAATCTTGAATACTGACAAGACAGTTACTGTTCACTTTTAGGTACTCTAGTACCCCACGCTTACTAGCAGCACTCTACGACCTTCCTGGGTATTGAGTTGGAGGCGGGATTAAATTGGAAGCAACAAGTTGATAGTATATGCAGGAAGTCGAATAAATCCTACTATGCTATATTGAAATTGAAGCCAAATGTACATGTGTA